TTCCCAGTCAGGGCACATGCTGGATTGCAGGATTGAATCCCCAGTGTGGTATGTGCTGGAGGCAGCCAATCAATCATTCTCTCTCATCATTGATGTTTCTATCTCTAAACCCCTCTCTCTTCCTCTCTGAAATCAATGAAAACATAGTTATTTGAAGATGTTTGATGTAATTATGGGGAAAGATTTGGACAGAAGCAAAAAATATCAAATGCACATAGTGTCTGTGCCCGTGTGGACAGATAAGAATTTGATTATAAGAAGTTTGGTCTCGGTCATGCCCGGTATGCCCATCTCCTCAGGCTTTCAACACCACAATCCCCACGTTGCACTTTTGATAAATGTAAAATTATTCAATGTAACTAAATCAAGATGGCTACCATTTTCAAGTTATAAGAAAGACATTGTACAGTAGGCATTGGATTGGTGTGTATCTATTATTCTAAAGTATAATTATTGGCAAACATGTACTTTTAAAGATTTACTGAAAAGTCTATGTTCTTCCTTTTTCAGAAATAATTTGTCCTAGCCCACCCAGCTATGGCAATGCCATCCTCATAGGCCGGAAGAAGAACTCATACAAGTCAGGAGAACAAGTGGATTATGGATGTCCAGACTATTACCAAATGTATGGATCCAATTTTGTAGAGTGTAGGGACGGCATTTGGATAGGAACACCCACATGCAAAGGTATTTTGGTGAATTGCTTCTCCCATCATTAAAAAATAGACGCAGGTTCTGGCGAGGCCACATGAAGGAAGGTTTATGCCTCAACGTAGAGGAATGGGATGTGCACTCAGTGCTGGGCATTGGGGCCCCAGAGCCCTCAGAGTGTGACCCCGGAAACAGCCGTGTCAGCATCTCTGGGGAATCCGTAGGAAGGCAAATGCAAACTCACAGGCTCACTCAGACTCAGCATCAGAAGCTCAGGGGTTGTGACCCTGAAACCGTTGTAGCAATTCCCAGCGGGCTCTACGCCCATTTTGTGGGGAACCGTAGCTTCAGCCTCTTATTACTTTATATCCACCCGAGTCTCCCCAATGAACCTCACAGTGCTCACTGCAGTGCCCGTAAGCACTCACATTATGAAAGTATTTTTAGGAAACTGTAAATATATTGTACTCTTATTTTTCCTCAGTTTCTGTGTGGATATCTTAAGTGATCATCTTCTTTAGCAATGTGATATTCCTCAAAGCATGTAAATACTTGACTTACTCTCTAAGAACCTGGCTACTGTGCTCATTTCCTAAGGGCCTAAAATCCAATTTCAAAATCATGATGTTTACAAACCTCATTTGACTGCCAAATAATATGTTTATTACGAGTTTCTTGGGTTTATAAATTCACTATGATTTTATATCATTTACATTTATTTTACTAAACTTAAAGAAAAATGTTCAGAAAAACCGTCATTTTTTTTTTACTTTTAAAAAAGTTGTAAAATTTTTATTGAATGTATTGGGGTGCCATGGGTTAATAAATGGTGCTGGTATAATTGGAAAAACACAACAAAAAAATGAAATTGGACCACCTTCTTATACCTTACGCAAGAATAATCTCAAAATGGATTAATGGCGTAAATGCAAGATTCAAAAACAATAAAAATCCTAGAAAAAAAACATGGGCAGTAAAATCTTAGACATTTCTCATAGTAATATTTATTTTCTGATATATCTCCTCAGGCAAGCAAAACAAAAGAAAAAAATAAACAAATAGGACTACATCAAACTAAAAAGTTTTGCACAGCATATCATCATTTTCATTGGCCTAAAAATGTCTATGAACTTTTGAGAGAGGATGGAAACTTAAGATATAAAAGCTTTCCTCTTACCAAAAAAATTGCTTTATCTTCTTTTTTCAATCTTGTCTGTAAATTTGTGAAGTTTTCCATCTCAATTGCGTCTAAATGATCACTGCATTAGAGATCCATTGTTTTCTCTTTATTCAGATGTCTCCTGTGGCAGCCCTCCCACAGTGCAAAATGCCTTTATACCAAACCAGAAGCCTAGGTATCGACATGGGGACACAGCACGTTATGAATGCAGGCACCCTTTGGGGCTCTTCGGGAAAGCAGTGGTGACCTGCTTAAGTGGGAATTGGACAGACCCACCTGAGTGCAAGGGTAGGTGTCTCATTCTCCCCTCCCAATCTCTGTGCAGCCTCTGTAAGCACTTGGCTACTAGACTCCTGTCCAGCTGGCCTTCATTTGGTTACTCAGGTTTGTTGCCCTATCGTTTCCTGTAAATCGGGTTGGGGCCGGGAGAAGGTGAGTGTAGCTCCCACCTACTCCGCAGCGCCCTTAAAATCAACTACTCACTCAATAAACCAACAATATCCTCTCTCAGAGCCCACAGGAAAATGTGGGCGCCCTCCTGCTATTGACAATGGAGACGTTACCACATATATATCACCATTCTACGCTTCGGGGTCTTCGGTGGAGTATCAATGCCAGGCCTTCTATGAACTTGAGGGAAACAGGAGAATAACGTGCCGTGATGGACAGTGGTCTGAGCCACCCAAATGCTTAGGTAAGACCTTTAATGTCTCGTGGACCCTGGGAAATCCGTGTAATGAATGTCATGTTTGCTGTTTACAACAGAATTTGCATGGACTATCACCCCTTCTGTTGACAACCAAATAGTCATGTCTGAGGGAATAAAGTCTGAAAAGTTCTTGAGCAACAACAGCAAGAAACTATCATTTTTCTTTATTTTAATTTATTTTCCCCATCACCACTTATGTCCCCTCCATCCTCATGCACCTCCACCACCCATTCAAGGATTCTTTATTGAAAGCCCTTCTTAGCATAGTTGACATTTTGAATGTTGATTATAACGTGCAATGACCACACATTCCACAGAGTACCTCATTTTAACATCATTGATAGAAATGAGTTATAGCAACATGATGGATTTTCAATGAATTGGTTTGGAAAAGGGTTTCAGAATAAATTCCTGGATCTGTGTAGAATATTCTACATAAAAGTGTAAAGTTCTGTGGAAAATATCTGTATACCACTTAAAGTTTTATGTCCCTTTTTTTAACCTTCAGGTGCCTGTGTAATATCAGAAAAAATCATGAAAGAACATAACATACAGTTGAGATATTCAGATGGGAAAAAAATTTATTCCAGATCCAATGATTATGTTGAATTTGTGTGTCGATTTTCCTATCGTAGAGTGTCACCAGCATCTGCATTCCGAGCACAATGTCGAGAAGGAAAGCTGGAGTATCCCACTTGTGGATAATGAGAGCTGTGTGGCAGTTTTCACATTAAAATATGCGCCTTCATTCAGAATTTGTTAATATTAATCTGATTCTTCTCAATTTATTTTTCTAATAGGCTGTAACTCACTTGTATTCATTAATCACAATGCCTGTTAAATGCCATGTGGGAGATGTCATTGTAATCTGAGACCAACGGACCACTTATAAGCATCTCATTAAAATGTGACAAACCAACATGCTGTGTGTTCTGTTCATGAAACGTCTCTGGCCAGAAAGTAGATGCCATCTCTTCCCTCCCTGCTCCCCCCACCACCCTCCCAACTTTCTCAGCTTCTCCACAGCTGTGGGGCGTTTTGAGACTCTAATTTCAGAGGAAAAAAATAAAAAATGCTTGTCTCCTTCTTCACCTTAAAATCACTTCACAAACACATCAAGACCAAACTGTGTCACACCCATGTTGGCAACAGATGGTAGAGGTTATTAATTAGTTTTGCTTATCTATCCATGGCTCACTATACCCCAAATGATGAAATGCAACATCTAGTATCCATCTAGCACATACAATCATTCAAACAGTCCTAAGGAGGTATTAGATGCTAATCAGGGGCCTAGCTATTGTAACACGGACTTAAAAACTGATAAAATATCGAGTATCAGCAGGTGTCGGGAAGGGACAGTGCAGTTCCTCAGATGTGAATGAGGAAGCCCTGTGGCCCCAAATATGTGGCCAGTCCCACCTACTG